AGTATCCATTTTGCAGTACGCCAAGACACTATCTTATTCATGGAACATGACATTGCTAAGGCGCGCAATATGAAACTCATCCTATGTCTTTTCGAACAATTGTCAGGTTTAAAGATAAACTTTCGCAAGAGCGAGTTGTTCTGCTTTGGAAGGCCAAAGACGAACAAGACACATATAGACAATTGTTTGGGTGTGAATTAGGTTCTTTACCATTTAGTTATTTGGGCATACCGATTCATCACCGTAAGTTATCCAACAAAGAATGGAAGTGTATCAAAGATCGAATTGAAAAAAAGCTGAGCTGCTGGAAGGGCAAGCTTATGTCTTATGGAGGTCGGCTAGTACTAATTAACTCCGTACTGACTAGTATGCCGATGTTTCTATTATCGCTCTTTGAAATTCCAAAAGGGGGTTCAGAAACGACTTGATTTCTTTATATCTCGGTTCTTCTGGCAGTCAGATGAGGCCAAGAGGAAATACCGTCTCGCGTGATGGGATATCCTTTGTCAACCTAAAGACCAGGGGGGTCTCGGTATTGAGAACTTAGAAATCAAGAATAAATGCCTTATGAGCAAATGGCTCTACAGGAGCCGGATGGCATGTGGGCTCAGATTCTACGCAATAAGTATTTACAGTCGAAAATGCTCGCTCAGGTTACCATACGACCAACTGACTCGCCATTCTGGAAGGGGCTGATGAGAACTAATGACTTGTTCTTTCGTAGGGTCAAATTCTTGGTTGGCAATGGGATGCCAACAAGATTTTGGGAGGACACGTGGTTAGGGGAGACTCACTTAGTTGTACAATATCCCACCATTTATAACATTGTGCAACATAAAGAGGATTACGTTGGCACAGTATTCCAAACGATTCCATTGAATATTCAGTTCAGACGTGCGTTAGTTGGTGAGCGATGGAATGCCTGGATGCACTTGGTTCGGAGATTGATAGATGTTCAACTCTCCGACCACCCGGATTCAACGCAATGGAAATTAACTAAGAATGGGGTTTTTATGGTCAAATCCTTCTATTTGGAGTTAATTAACTCTGGCCCAATCTCACGATCAGTGCATATTTGGAGGGTTAAGGTGCCCTCCTGTATCAAAAAAATTATGTGGTTCGTCCACTAGCAAGTAATACTCACCAAGGACAACTTAATCAAGAGGTGATGGGTAGGCAGTTCACGTTGTTGTTTTTGTGATCATGATGAAACAATACAACATTTATGCCCACTCGCCAAATTGCTTTGGAGAATGATTTGTATAGCCTTCAACATCAATCCTCCAGTTGACATTGAGTCATTGTTTGGAATGTGGTTAGCTGGGGTTGAGCATATTACTCCGGCTCATATTTGGATTGGAATATGTGCACTTTTATGGGCTATATGGAACTGTCGGAATGATTTGATATTTAACAGACAACACACTTTAACTTTCTTGCAGGTCATCTTCAGAGCTACCGCTTGGATCCGTACGTGGCCCTTACTCACTCCTGCAAACTCCAGGGAGCCTTTGATTACTGGTGCAACCAGTGGGAGATGGTAGCACGAGCTATATTCAACCGGTTTGGATGGCGGTCCCATAACAGGATAGGAGTTTAGGGAGCTTATCCTTCATATTGCCGTACCGGTTGTGATCATCAGAATTGTTTTTTCTATTTTCGCTCCACTTGCGAGCTGTAATACTTTTAAGACTTTGTGATACTTCGTGGATCTTTTAATAAGATGGCTGAATGCATCATTATGATGCAGAGGCCGGGTACACCTCCATTTCCAAAAAAAAGGAAAAATAGGAGTCAGAAAATAAAATTAAAAAATCTCTTAAAGTTGCAATAGTTACAAAAACCATCTATTCTGCTTCTTTTGCTGTAACCAAACCAAACCAATCTCTTGAAGTTGTAGGATAGGGGAGTTCGCTTTTGTAAAGGTGATGGCCAATATCTTGCTGCCCTTAATGAATGTGGAGACCACCATTGATTTTTATCACTGATGTTATATGCTTTCCATGACGCATTTGGCCTGAACCATCTTCGTCTCGCTTGCAGGAGGCTGTTCCTCGATACTTTTAAACAATGAGCACAACCAACCTTCCATAAAGGACTTCTACTCAAAATGGCAGATGAATTTGATAGGGCACCAGAACAATAGATATGTAATTATTTAACGCTGAGATGGCAAATGATAAAAAATTATGTTCCAACCATTTCTTTGGTAATATATGCAATCTTCATAATGCCGCAGATTACAAACTTTGCAAACCTAAAGACTTATATTGAAATTAGGCATTCATGTGAACTGAAGAGAAATATTCTGCCTTTCCCAAAGATAGTAGCACTATATATGAAGAGAAGTATAACTCAGACTATGCAATGAGCTATACTATACAATGATTTGCTAGCTTCTCCTGAACACTGTTGTTTTGTTAACAAATGGATTGATCAAGGAGGTGGGGTGATCATGTCGGTGCTCTCGTTGGAACCCAGCCAAATGGTGTTATTCTGGTATGTGGTAAACATTAGAAGAATTTAAAGTTTATGCACATGGATATCTTAATCTCCATTTTCATTGATCAATCCATCTGCAGCGAGCTCCAGCGGCACCCTGCACACCACAAACATTTCACAGATCAGGCACCTACATGGATAAGGCTATCAACTGCATCACCATTTGTTTAACTGGAGATGCATGGGGCGTGGCGGGTGGCGGAGCGGCTGACGGAGGGCATGGAGTGGAAGGCCGCGGTGGCAGCACGGGCGGCGGCGAGGATGCAGGTGAGACCTTGGTGCTATGGCACATCGACATGAGGCGGCGGCGGTGGTGGCCCGCTCTCGTGTCGATCAGAGGAGTGGCGGGGGCGGCAGCCTGCTCTCGCGGGCGTCAGAGGAGGAGCGGCGGCGGCTCGTCACTCCCGGCTCGTCCGTGCGGATGCTGCGGCGGCTACTCACGTCCGTAAACAGACAGCATGGTGCGTCGTGTGCTCGCGTAGTTAGATTAGGATCGCAAGGGTAGTGATCCGATTGCAACCAGTCTTTTGTTGCCTTCGTGATTGTAGGGCGTGAAGTTTTCTTTCGCGATAGAGTACGGTCACTCAACGTAAATTATTAAGTACACACAGCAAACAGGTTTGTTAAGGCTAACTGTTGGATCGAGTTTAGTGGATCTGATCATGCAGTGGTAATTGCTCCGTGTACGTTTTGTGTGTGGAACTAAAGAAGATCATGTTTGCTCTTTATAAGTAAGTAGAGATGATCAAACCAAACTGAACACCTGCACCAAAAAAAAAACGAACTCGATCCATATCCGCGCGTCACTCCCCTTTCTGTTTCTCCTTCGTAAAACGCTTCCTGAAATTGAGTTGTGCCGAATATGTAACTTCGATTTATATTCAGAAAGCAAGAGCTCCCGTAGCTCAGTTGGTTAGAGCGTTGGTCTTATGAGCCGAAGGTCGCGGGTTCGAGCCCCGCCGGGAGCACCGTTTTTTTCCTCTTCGTTTCTGCACGAGCCACACAATTTCACCTTTTTTTTTGTCCGCTGGACAAAGAAGCTTCCCAATCGATGACCACCCCCATACCTCCATATCACTCCGCCGTCAGGTGCTACTCTTTTCCTCTCCGTCGATGCGTACAATATTTGCCAAGACTGAATAGGGACGTTCGGCGATGGCGGCAGAGGGGTGCTGACGCCCCGGGTCAGTTTCATCTCTAGTTTCACTCTT